CAACAGATAAAATAGCTTTCTGCAGTGAAAGACCCATTGCTGTTCCTTGTCCCTCTGGAGGAATTCTTAGAACACCTTATAAGGTTAGTTACATTTATTCATTATCTTAGTTTAAGAGCATTCTTGAATTAAACTATTAACTACAAAGATATTTTTGAATCAGTATTAATTGAGAGTGTTTTTGTTCAATTTCAAATGGTTTAAAGATATTTTTATCTGCAATGACATAGTCGAGTGGTTGGGAGGTGTGTCTCCATCCTCCATCTGCTACTTAGCCATGACACTTGCCTAGGGTGATTTACATTTTTTACGTGATTTATGAGCTATATTGTCAGTGGCGTAGCTAGAAATTTTACGAAGGGTGTTTAGGAATTGTACACGAGTACATTTTTTCTTTTGGAAGAATTAGTGCACTAGAATTTTTAAAAATTAAACTACGTAATATATATGAAATTTTTTGAAAAAAAAGTATGTAATATACATGAAATTTTTTGAAAAAAGAGGAAAAAGATGAAAGGTGCACTAGAAATTTTAAAAATTTAACTACGTAATATACATGAAATTTTTTGAAAAAAAGTACGTAATATAAATGAAAAATAGGAAAATATTTGAAAAAAAAAGGCTTAAAGCTGTTGTTAGCAATATTTGAACTCACAAACGCTTAAAAACTTAGCTTTTTCAAGGCACCTTAAACCATTAGGTTACAACACCTTATTGTGTTAAGGGTGTCCAGAATACGTTATTTAATCATTTTATATATTATTTTACTTGTATATACAATATAATTTTCCGACAATTGGACACCCTAAAAAGTATGTAGCTACTCCCATGTATATTGCCCAAAGTGCTCACCACAAAATACACTGTATTTGTTACACTATTATTTTGCGGAAATTAGGAAAAGAAGGGGAAAACACCATAGTATAATTATTTGTCAATGGAATATTTAATACGAAGATTCGTTGGCACGCGGCTTTCAATTATTCCTTCAAAATCACTCACCGCGTGTGTGTATGTGTGTTTTTTTTTTGGGTCCTTTTCAGTTCATTATTATTTAACATGTACTATTGTTATTGTCTAGCTGTCATGATTTAGGCAAGGGAATCTTTTTAAATTAAAATTAATAAATTATTTTAAATTATCATTTTAATCTACACAAAATTAATTGTGTAAAGCACAAAAGAAAAGGTTAATTTTTCTTTTTAGGAACATTTCTAATTTTGGAAATTAAATTTATGCAGGTGGTTATTCCAGTGACGAAAATTAAAAGAGCTCATCCGAGTGTAAACGAGAATAAACCATCTCAAAAGTACATTGAAATAGTAACCGAAGATAATTTTGAATTTTGGTTTATGGGTTTTGTACGATATGAAAAAGCTTTCTTGAATTTACAAAAAGCTATATCCATGTCGAATTAAATATTTACACGTTAGAATCTTTAGGATTTTAAAGAGCTTTGCTAGTACTCTAGAGTTTTTTATTTCTTTTTAACTTTTTTGTTGAATTGGTGGCATTTTAGGACTGGTTATTCTTTGTTTACCTTTCTGTCGATGATCATAATTTCAACTATTTAGGCTCTAGGGATATGAATTTTATGTTCAAGTGTAATTATCTATGGTTATTTGAGGTACTTTTGGACTCCCTGAAAAGTATAAAATCTCCTAATTAAGTCCTACCAATTAATTAAGATATTACTCTTATTACTTTACGCGTCCAAAATTTAAGCCTTTATTTCATTTTTGACGTAGCAAAATTGAAATAATGTACTAACAAATTTGCGAGCCGACTCAACAAGATTAGAGGCTTAAAGTGAAATTTAAGAGAGGGGCTCATTATTATTTTTAATCATATATACTTTTATTTAAAATCTACTTTTCTAACTTTTTTAGATGCGACGTCATTAGTTACTGTTTTATAATCGATTGGTTTTAATAATGTCTTTCAAATTGATAATGTAGCTAATCCATTAAATCTCTCTTGAGACATTGTTAATCTTAAATAAGATTTAATCAACTTCAATTTCGAAAATCTTCTTTCGGCTGAGGCAGCAGTTACAAGAACTATTAACATTATTCTATAAGCAATATGCATATTTGGAAAAGAATAAAATCTTTTTATTTGATTGAGTATTTTCATTAGATCATTATCTTCTACTTATATTATTTCTATTAACATTTTAAATTCAAAAAATAAATCTAAATCATGAATATCAAAATAACTATTATGGGTTAAAGATAGTTAACAATTCATCTAGTGATCTCAATTTACCACTAAATAAGAAATCAAAAATATTTTCATATGCTTCCATTGGTTCAAATCTATTTTAAAGTGAAAAAAATAGCTTGATTAAGGGACTTTGTGATTTTGTTATCAATATTTTCATCAAATTGTGTCTTATGAAATTCATGTTCTATATTCATATCATGTGCAATTTCCTAAGTAGAAATCATAACACTCATAGTACATATAATTTTTTTTTTAAAAAATAATATTTATAAGTAATTTTTTTCTAAAATATGGGGGGCCCAAAATATGGATCCCCAAGCGGTGACTTTAGTGGCCTAGGGGTTAAGACCGCCCTGGCAAATTTCGGACGGTTTTATTCTCAAACCTCCAAAAAAGAGATGAGGCCTTAATAGTTATCCTCATTTCAAGTTCAACGTTCGAGGCTAGCAGTCCATTCCCTTAATCCGTATTATTATAAGAATTTGACTTCACGAGAAATTGATGAACATATATATAAAAATAAGAAATTTGAAAGATTTTATTGGAATTGTATATTTGAATATCTTCAGAGAAGTAAAAAATCCCCTTATCATTTGTTCCATTTCATCCTATACAATATCAGATCAAATAAAATCTATTGAGCGAAAATAAATTGATTAACTAACGAGATTGAATAATCTATAAGAATAAATTTATAATAAAATGAACAAAAGATTATGTCAAATAAAATTAAGGTATCTTTTAATTTTGACTGTAGACCACCCTTATGCTATTACAATATGATCTATAAGTTGACAAATCTTAAATGGGATTTCATATCTTATTTTTATATGTATTTATAGTGCACGTATAACGTATTATACACTATATATAACAGTAATTTCACGAATAAAAGTCATAACAATCTTTATTACTCCATTACATTATCAACACTACTAGAAGACATACTCTTCCTTATTTCTTCACTGATACAAACTATATACAGTGAAATCACACACACATATTATATATACTTAGTACCATAGTATAAAATATTAATAATTCTAGACCTTATGAAATGTAACTTTGAGAGGTGGATCTCTACCAACAAACAAAACCCTTTTTCCATTTTCCTCAAGTATACCTATTTCTCCACAAAACGGTCTACATATCTCACAAACAACAGGACAATACACAAGTTTGTAGGCATCCTCGTACTTGTCAATATTAAACCAATTCCCTAAAGTTTCACGACCAGGATTTCCTTCTACTCCGCCAATCGTAACCAAATAACGTTCTGGAATTAATTCAGTATTAATTCTCCATACTGTAGAAGAATCAGATATTACCATAGACGTAAATTTTACGTTCATATCAATCGATAATCTAACTGTATTTTCTTTAGGATCCACTGGTGAAAATTGAACGTTAACGCCGATAACAGATTCATCGGCGTTTTGGCTTACGACCAGCGGGTTGGTTCGGTTCCTAATAGATGCAACTTGAAGTCCACCACCGTTGCCCCGACCCGCTGGAAGGATGTAATAATTCACTCCTCTACGGACAGCGTTACCGGAAACATCGAGTACCGGTTCAGCAACGTCTTGAGCTTTTACAAGGAAAAATGTCGTTGATAATAATGTGACAAGAAGAAAAGGTACTATGAAACGTGTGATGTTAATAACTTTCATTGTTGTAGTCGATAAATTATATGAATGGATATAATGAAATTAATGAAGAAGAGCTATTTTTTATAGAATAGAGATGAATGATGAAGGTTTGAATATTCTATGTTAGTTTGAAAATTATAATAAAGAATTGACTATCAATTTTCTAGCCGTTTAGTCATAATTAAATTATGTATATATGGTTTGACATTTTCTCTGTGTAACCTATGTGTGCCTTAAAAATTTACACATTAAACAGTGGGAAAACAATTATATATCCACCTATAATCTTTGAACTTGTTGTACACATATTTGAATAATTGTGTCACAAGAATTTTCAAATGTTCAACTATATAGTATATATGTATGTTTATGAATGTACAAAGTAAGAGACGTAAGCTTCTTGTACATGTATACTTAGGATATGATGAACTCTTAAATTTGACAAATTAATTATGTTTTTAGAATTATATATTTTTATCCGTTCTCAACTTTTTTCTCTCTTGGTGACTCAAACTCACGATATTAGGATTGAAAGTGAAGGGTGTTTACCATCCAACAACTTCATCTTGTCTTTTTTGTACCATATATAATATGCGGACTTTTATTTGATCAGCAATTAATAGAAAGATCAAAAACAAGCTCGGTGCTAGCTAGCTAGTAACAGTGTGTGTACAATATGTAAAATTCAATAATAGTAATAAAGTCTATCTTGAAAAAGTCAAATGTACACGCTAAAAAATATCATAGGAGTTGGGTATATATATATCCTGAATATTTAGCCAAGCTTATGAATTGAGAAATTCGTAATAAATCATAATGACACGATAAAGATGCCGTAATAGTTAGGTATAAATAGATCTCTATTTCGCCAAACTTATGAATTATGTGGTATTTGTGAAATCGATAGTTAATTCGATGACTATCGGTAAAATTAAAATTTAGAATTTTTATTCTGAATTTCATACTATCAACAAAAGTTGCGTGAAACCCTTTCTTTGATAGATTGGAGAAACAAAAGAAAAGGCGGAAATTAGACACACACATATATATATCTACATACTTAATATTACGGAGGAAATAAATTGTCTTATACATGGGTGTGTATATATACACGCTACCATTATTTAGACAACACAAACAGGTACATTATTCATTCATATATTTCGTCCAAACAAAAGGATCATACAATCGAATTTGTTCCATAATTATTATCCTTAACGAACACAACTGGGAAGCTATCGCCAATTTTGAGAACCAAACGCCTTTGTCCGTAGACATAATGAATGGTGATTTCACTGCATGTGTCTTCATAATTATTAGGACAAAACACCAAAATGTACATAGGATTAGCATTATCATCGTCATTTAATTTCTTAATCTGAAACCAAGTGTTCACTTTCGAAGGATTTCCTGTCTCTCCACCATTAGTTGACAAGAAAGCTGGGTTCAATGCAGTTCCTGGGATATTACCTTCTACTTCCCACACTGTGTTGTTACACATCCCAATTGGATTGTCAATATAGAACTTAATGTTAACATCACTTGATTCAGTGATTTCTATTTGATTTGGTGCCTTAGGTTTGAAAAATACTGCCCTGCCTTGGTCCGAATTTAGCGGGGTTTGCATCACCTGTAATTAAACAAATTAAAAATATAATAAGATTAACGTGTTGAGATATTATATAATCAAGCATCTCATTTTATTTGTGTGATGGTATTTGATTGGATACACAACTACACAAGCTAAATATATACAAAATATCAGGTGTTATGTCTGGATAGATCGAAATAAAATGACCACAACTTAGATATATTCACTATGGTGAATTAAAAATGGATCTCCTAATTATGTGATTTTGACAATTTTTAGTTTATGAATTAACTTTTGGTTGGACTAGGATCAAGGTCTAATTGATTATTTTTTATCATGATATGGAAGATTTGCAGTCTAGCCACTAGATTTAGTTCGTTTATATGATATTAGACTCGTGTTTCATATATCCAGTCCTAAACGTACAAAGACATTAAATCCCATAATTATTGACAATTTAAAAATGAATCTTCAGTCATCACCTTATAATGATCCAAGATCCTATCTTATCAAGTTGATCCGTACAAATCAAGTCATTAAAATAAATTGAAAACCAAATTTACAAGTTATATAAAAAGGAACGTATGTCATACAAAATAAAAATATACATAATTTTTTTTAACAGTTTAATCTTTTAAACTAGATGCAATTTAACAAACCTGAAACGGACAGACGAAATTAGCATCACGAGCTCCATCTTGAGCCTCTAATATGGGTCCTCTGGTTACTCCGCCGCCACCTCCGGCTAATACTGGTGGCATGACCACGAAGTACCTAGAGTCTGATCTGAGAATTTCACCATTAGTGTCACGTACCACCTGCAACACTTGATTAGGAGTTGTTCTAGCACTAGTACATGAAGAATAAAAGGCTACAACAAGTGAAATTAACAAAATAATCCTCTTCATTTTTAAAGAAGTTATTAATTAATTGATGGAGAACTTCTAAATGTACCTTCAATTTATAGAAAACATGAACCCAAAATATTACGTTTACGTTTATAATTAAAGAACACATTGTTTATCATGAAAATCTATATTATTAAAAAAATAAAAACACATATTTTATATTATTGGTTTAGAACAGACACCAAAACCAGGACAATACGTTTCATTTTTATTGGTATTCGTTATATTTTACTACACTATATACGAAGAAGGATAGCAGTATGTATTTTGTAGTTCTCACCTAGATAATATGAAAATTAAATTTTTTAGTGCTTATTTTGTCGTTTGGGTCTAGTTGATCTATGATATAATTTTTTCTTGGATCACTTTTAAGTTTTATCCCTTATTTGATTATATTTTCTATTATTTGTCCTTGTGCATTTTGAAAAATCTAAGCAACTTTAGAGTCAATATTTTTTCCCCCAAATTGTAGCTTTTATTAAGTCTCACAATATATAATTAAAGATTTCCATATAGCCTAACTTGATTTAAATATTAATGACTTCAAAGTTCCTTCATCCAGCTTCTTAATCTAGATAAGGTTGCTGCGTGTCTATAAATTCTATCAATAAAATCAGCTTAAATTAAATTATTTATAAAGAAACTTTCATATTTTCATGTATTATTTACTCTGTCTCAAATTATTTGTTGTGATTTTCAAAAATAGTTATCTCAATTATTTATCATTTTATAAGTTCAAAACAATTAATTTTTCCTTATTGTATGCTTAGTAGTAATTATTTTCCCCAATTCCATTTTTATTTCCTTTTTTGAGGCTTAAAATTAGGGGACGCTTAATGCATGAATTATTCAGTTTTACCAATTTTACAACGTCTCCTTAATTTGTGTCGTTGTTCCTCCCCCTCCCACATTATCCATCACCCTCCCACACTACACATCAAATAAGAATTTAAATGCAACGTCTAATGGGATTCAAATTTAAAAATTGGGGCTATTTAAATGAGACTTGAGCTAGTTTTAGACTGAATCTCTGTCCTAGTTCGTTGAAGTTTGAAGCTACAATAGAGTTTTATTAAATATATATTAAAATTGTATTATAATTGTATATTGAGATTTTATGAAAATTGTTTTTGAGTAAGCTTGTATGCTAATATAGTTGTATTAAAATTTGTATAAATATTGTATAGAAGTTATACAATTTTTAAATACAAATTGCGACGTAAAGTCTAATCCTTAAGCGAGATATACATTTTTCATACGCTTACAAAAAAAACATAAGTAAAATTTAAGGCTTTGAGCGGGATATACATATTTCATACTGATTTCATACACAAAATTTTGAGCCAAAATTTCAAATCTTCACCGAAATTTCATATATATATATATATATATATATA